GCTGCACCCCGCTGTTAACAGACATAGCCCCCCCATTAAACAAGTCACCTGGCTGTAGTCACACATTCTAGGAGCATGACTGGGTTTGGGTTCAGTAGCTCATGTTGCCCATCTTGGCATGGCACATGTGTACCCATCATCACCCGGTGTTTAGACCATGCAATGTCTGCTTGCTTAGCACACCTTGGGAATAGTCTTGCCATGGCCTGGGGAAAGTCAGGTGCTGTGCTGCCTTTGGTTACAGCAGCTGTAAATTTAGGCCACTGTGGCCTCTGTGTGAGTTTTAGTCTCTGTACATACTAGATTCAAATACAAAATAAGGTCTAGAATGTTGTTAGCCCAATGATCAAGCACTTGTGTGGTGTGTATGAGGCCCTAATTTTAATCCCAGTGCTACCAAAAAAACCTGAAACAAATAAAACTCACAAGCTTTTGTTGTACACACACAGTACTTGCTTTTCCTGTTGGCCAGATGTGCACTTGACTTACATTATTTATTGGCTTGTAGACCAGGTCTCTCCAAGGAGCCTACACCTGCCTTGAACTCACAGTCCTCCTACCTCAGCCTCCCATGTGCTGGGATTGTAAGTATGTACCACCACACACAGATTCTGGCTCAGTCTTTGCCTCAGGGCTACTAGAGGTTTGCCTGTTTGGTAGCACACAAGTGCTATGGAAAGGAGCAGAGGTCTGGTGGGCACTGGATTCCATCCTGACTCCCCCTGTTGCAGTGTGAGGTGGCCAGAGGCAAACTCCTGCACAAATGTTCAAGGTCCTCCTAGCAACGTGGGACTCTCAAGTGCTTACTAGCATTAGGGGAAAAGTACTCCCAGGAAAGACTGACAGAAGGTGGCTGTCTCCTATACTCAGCAGCCCTCAGGGAAAAGCTGATAAGGATGGCCCTTGGGATGATGTGGAAGTTGAGGCCTACAGGGGGCATAGTGGTGAGCAGTACCATGCTTGGCACTTACCAAGGAGGTGGACCCGAACATGTGCTTCCCTCCTGGCTCTGAGTTCTAGGTCCTATGTGTCCTGGCCTGAAGTGGGAGTTGTGCAGGTCAGTCAACAGCTCAGTAACTGTGTTTCCTATTGAGCCGTGCGTGCCACAAGTCTGGACTCCATTCTTTGTCATCTGCATGGATTCCCACTGCAGCCATGGGCAGTCTCATACCCCTCCTCATCCATAGGCCTTTACGTGTTTCCAGGTATTTTTAGAGACATAAACTTCCCCATTCTCTGAACCTACTGCCACCCAATACCTGCCTATACAGAAAAGTAGATTTCCTTGGAAAGTTCTTGAATTCTTTTTTTTCTTTTCTTTTCTTTTTTTTTTCTTTTTCTTTTTAGAGACAGGGTCTGATCATGTAGTACTGTCTGGCTTGGAACTTACTATGTAGACCTGGCTAGCCTTGAACTAATAGAGATCTGTCTGCCTCTGCCTCTCTGCCTCTCTCTGCCTCTCTCTGCCTCTCTCTGCCTCTCTCTGCCTCTCTGCCTCTGCCTCTCTGCCTCTGCCTCTCTGCCTCTGCCTCTGCCTTCTGAGTGCTGGGATTAAAGTTGTGCACCATTGCACACATCTGAATTCATCCTTTAAAAAAAATCTTGTTTTGTTTTTGGGAATTTTCTACAGTGAGCACTGTTCCTCCCCTTGTATTAATTCCTGCAGTTGGTTTTTCTCTCTGTTTCTTTTGAGGCTGGGAAGGGAAGGGTGGCTGCTGCACTGTGTGTGAACTGTTTGTTACTCTGAAGGAGCCTCTCTCTACTTGCCTGCCTTCCTTCCTTCCTTCCTTCCTTCCTTCCTTCCTTCCTTCCTTCCTTCCTTCCTTCCTTCCT